ATAACAAATTGAATTTTCTTAATAGAGTGCTATTCATGTTTTCTATTTATTCTTGTATCTGTTTTGGTAAATTCTATATTTCAAGGACTTGGTCCATTCTATCTATCAAATTTATTGTCTTAAGTTTTCAAAATATTCCCTGTTATCCTTTTGATGCCTGTAGGGCCTGAAGAGACTCTTTCATTGTAGTGATACCCCCCTCATTCTTGACATGGGTACTTTGTGTTTTTCTCTCTTTTAAATCAGTCTTCTAAGAGTTTACTAATTTTATTAATCTTTTTATAGAACCAAATTTTGGATGTCAATTATCTCTATTATTTGTATGCTTTCTATTTCACTGATTTCTGCTCTTATCTTAAAATATCCCTCTTACAACATACTTTGGGTTTACTCCTAGGATCTCCCCATTAAATTTCTGGTTGGTCTACTGCGCACAAAGCTATGGTTCCCCACCCCCACCCCCCGTTCATTTCTAATTGAGTTCGCTACTTTTCAGCATGTAAAGTCACAAGATTTCACCCCACCTCCCCACCCTAAATCAAGTCTCACCCTCTGGCAGCACAGCTACTGGTTGGAACAGTGGGGTCTCTGCTGACTGAGTGGTGGGATGGGGACATAGTGGCAGATTTCTGTGTTTACCTACATCTCTAGCCGGTTTTCAATTTGATGTCCACCTCTGGTAGGTTTCTAGTGCCCTAAAAAGGTTGTTTTGACAATTTTGTCCAGTTATATACTTTATTAGTGAATTGCTGACCTCTTCTTTCTGTTATAACTGGAAGCTGACTTTATAGTTATGATTAAATATAATACTGTTATCCTTTATTAAAAGTAAAATAGTGAGAAGAACATTTCTGCATTTTCTCTAAAACCCTGTTGGAGGTTTCGTAAGTTGCTGAAGTTGTTTGTGCATGGACAAATAGGATAAACTCCTCTTAGGATGGAGGACAGTGGCCTTCCTCCCTTCATGACTTACTCTGTCACCTGATAACATCCACCAACTGAACCACAAAATGTTAAATCTTTATTTACTAGAAATTAATGTTATAAATTAGAATTATGTCCTTGAGAATTCATTTTATAGCATAAAATACCAAGACAGTATAATTGTTTTTCAAAACCACACACGTTTGCTTCTACAAATATTAAGTATATAGAATTTCACTCAAATAAATACTTATGGAGGGATTACCGTGTGCAGAGACTGTGCCACACACCAGGGATAGAAACAAATGAACTCCAGAGGCATAGCCCTTGCCCTGCCCTCAGAGCTCACAGGCCAGGTGGCAACGGAGATGATTCTGTAGACAGTTACATTCGAGTGTAATATGCACTATGGCAGGGGAAGCACGTGTGTTATGATTGTGTCAGTATCAATGTTTCCTTCCACATTTTTTGTTTGTTTTTTGAATCCTTGAGGTTTTAGAAAGAAAATATCAGTTAAACCAACATTGAAGACGTATCTTCCATGGTAAGTCTCTGTAAATGGTAAACACCTGGGGAAGGACAGTTTCCTTGGAAAGGCTTCTTTCTCCTATTCTAACTCTTGAATGAACGTTAGACCACTGGGGATGCTTTAAAAAAATACCCTTGCCTGGCTACACTTCTAACGATGCTATTCTTTTCTTTTTCTTTTTGCTTATTTGCTCAATCCTAGTTTACATGTAGAACGGCACTGGAATTGTCAACCTGTATGCCCATGGGAATCAGTGTTGTTTGAGAGATCATATGGCATTTTACTTACCATAATGTCCTCAAAGTCCATCCATGTTGTCTCAAACGGCAAGATTTCATTCTTTTCATGGTCGAATAATATTCCATTGTATGCATATATCACCATTTCTTTACCCACTCACCTACCAATGGACACTTAGGTTGTTTCATACCTTGGCTATTGTACATAACGCTGCAATGAACATGGCGGGGGGGGGGTGCATCTATCTTTTCTAGTTAGTGTTTTCATTTTCTTCAGATAAATACCCAAGAATAGAATTGCTGGGTCATATGGTAGTTCTATTTCTAATTTTTCATGGAAACTCCATACTGTTTTTCATAGTGGCTGCACAATTACTCCCACCAACAGTACACAAGGCTTCCCTTCTCTCCACATCCTCGCTAAAGTTTCCCTCCTGTGTTTTTGGTAATAGCCATTCCAACAGGTGTGAGGTGATAGATCATGAGACTGTGATTTGCATTTCCCTGATGGTTCATGATGTTGAGGATCTTTTCATGTACCTGCCCTCCATCTGTATATGTTCTTTGGGAAAATGTCTATTCAAATTTTCTGCCCATTTTTAAAAAAAGCATTTTTATTGATTTTCAGAGAGAGGAAGAAAGACGGGGAGAGAGAGATAGAAACGACAATGATAAGAGAGTCACTGATCGGCTGCCTCCTGCACTCCCCCCCCATCGGGGAGCGAGCCCGCAACCCGGGCATGTGCCCTGACCGGGAATCGAACGGCGATCTCCTGGATCCTAGTCGATGCTCAACCGCTGAGCCACGCTGGCTGGGCCTGCCCATTTTTAATAGATTTGGAGGTCTTTTTTTTTTTGCTATTGAGTTGTATGAGTTCTTTATATGTTTTGGATATTAGCCTCTTATAAAGATTCTATCCTAATTGGTCTGGAGCAAGGTCCAAACCCCAGTTTTTTAAAGTACTGAGGTGGTTTTAATGTGCAGCCACAATGAGAACCATTGCAGCCCTTGCTCCTGGTTCCTTCAACATTTGGCACCTATAGTAAAAGATGCCTCATTTTTCAATGGTTTCAGGTAAGTTTTCTGGGAAATTCTTCATGATACTTACAGCTTTCTGCTGCTTTGATGTCCAGTGAGAAGGAGCTCTTATTGTCAATATTTCAAGCTTCTAGAGAACGTGGGGTACTCATTCCTCTCCCTTCCCCACTTGTGGGTGACAGCAGATCCATATTCTCTCTCTCTCCACCCCAAGTGAGATGGAGAAGCTCATTTGATGAAGACTGACATTCACTGGTCCACTTTCCATGTAGCTATTTTGCCTTAAAAGCAAGAAACATGCTCCACCCGTATCTCTTTTGCTTCTACCCCATAGTGACAGTAAAATTAGCTAACTGGTGATTATTGGGTGCTTACCATAAGCCAGTTGCTGTTCTAAGCCTTTTACATAAATTAATTCATTACATCTTCATACCAACCCCATGGTGTACATTTGACGGTTATACCATTTTAGACATGAGGAAGCTAAAGCTTAGTGAGGCTAAGCAACTTATCTGAGGACACAATGTCACTGACCTGGAATTTCAATCCAGACTATCTGGCTCCAGAGCCATCTCTCTTAACCTCCATGCCACTGCACTGCTAGCCTGGCTTTTGTTCCAGACTAGTAAGCATAGTTGAAGGCCATTCACTGTCACTTATGTGTTCACTGGCATTCTCCACGCTACTGGTCTCTGGGTCTGTGAGCCTCCAGGCAGCCTGCCACATCAAAGACCTCCAAGTCTTCTTAGTAGATGCAACTCTACTCTCAAGTGGGTACCGTGCTCTAGAATTGAGGAGGGGGATGAGAGTAGTGGGAGCTCCCCGTGAGCTAACATATACTCAGACTTTAATGTAATTTGTCTGGGAGCTTTGCACTTCTGAAATTTGGAATATGCAACAATTTTGTGCTAATAGTTTCTCATCCCAAAGTGTGTACTCACACTGCACACTTCTTCCTTGGATTTTACCTTGCCTATTCTTGAGCATTTTGAGGAGAAACAATGCCTTTGTTAAGAGGCACAAAGATTCACGATATCTGATTATGCATCCATGCAAAAAAAGTTTTCTACTTTAGAAATTAGTTTATTGTGATTGTGTGTTGCTACTGAACGTATTAGTTTAGCCTCAATCCAGTGCGTGGCTCTAGCTGCCATGATAACATGGCTTTAAACATAAGTTTTGCTCCTCCCTCAGGGTGTTTTATTTTCAAGAGCAAAGCTTATTGAAGTTGGGGGCTTTTAAATTCAAACCATTATAATTAGAGGGTTGCAGTATCAAGAATAATTTTCCTACCCTGGCAGACTTAAATTATTTAATGGGAATTCTGTAATACCTTATATTTTCCTTTTTGTCTGAATACAAAGCATTTTGGAAGGCTACATAAAGGTGGGGTTTTTTTGAAAATATTCTAAGTTTCATGTTTTTTATTAGAAGACACTTTAAATTCTTTTTCAAAGTAGGTATTGATTTTAACTTTAGTTCACTGCTATAAAGAAGGGATGGGCAAACTACAGCCTATGGGCCAAATCCTGCCTGCTGCCAGTTTTTATAAATAAAGTTTTATCGGGACACAGCCACATCGCTCATTTATGTGTTCTCCATGGCTGTTCTCACTCTACAGCAGCAGAGTTCAGTAGCTACATCAGAGACCATCTGGCCTGCAAAACCTAAAATAGTTACTCTCTGGTTCTTTACAAAGTCTGCTGCTCCCACTTTCTATCCCGTGGCCTCTAACTCACTCCTTCTCATTTTGTGTTCCTGATTTTTTAAATTTCAGGAATGAGTAATATAACCTTGACCCAATTCAGGTTAGCATTTTTAAAAGAACAAAATTCAATTGCCTCCTTACTTGTGCAGCACTTCTCTGTCAGCGATCTTCGGGAAGGGGGGGGAGTTGCATCAATCCTAGTTTTCCAAGGACAAGGTAAACCCTTCCAAGTTTGCATGATCAGCTATTTTTTTCAGCTCAGAAACTCTCTGATTATTGTTTCCATTTTACATGCTTTGGTTTCTTCTTTAATTCCTGTTGCTTGTAGGGCTGATCGGCCAGAGCTGACTTCTTTGCTCTTTTCACATCTTCGCCCTTTCCTTCCCACCCCATACAAGCCGACTTAACGAAGTTGTCAGCAACACACCAATCTTACTCTGCTGTGAGATTTCTGTTCTCTTAACTGCATCCAAATGGCTGTCATCGGATTAACCTTTTGCATTTTTTTTCCCATCTAGCCAGCTTTCTTTTATTTAATTAAAAAAAATTTTTCAAATACAGTTTACATTCAATATTATTTCGCATTAGTTTCAAGTGTCCAGCATAATGGTCAGACAATCATATGCTTTACATAGTGTCCCCCCGATACTTCCAGCACCAGCCAGCTTTCTTTTCTTTTCAGCCTGCATCTGTCTGTTTTTTGGCCGCTGTCTGTTCTTATTGTTCCCTGTTTGAATTTCCTAAAAGCCCATTTCTTTTTGTCTCTTGTTCAAAACATCAAGCAGATAGTTTTTCTTGTTTTCCCTAATAAGATATTTCCTAAGAGTAACATACATTTTCAGAGTAGCATACATTTTCTTTTGTAAATTCTTTGCATGGGTCCCATGTTAATTTATTGTTGATCCTTTTGTTTATTTATATTTTTTATTTACCGATCTTTGAATGGGGAAGGATTCATCCAACCCTGATGCTTGTCCACACGCAGGACGGGCAGACTGCTCTCCAGCATCACCCCCTCTATGGGTGTTGCATGACTATACGTCTTAGATCTAAAACTCCGTGGTGAGCCCATGGTAGTGATATAGCACAATTTGTCTATTCCAATGGAGATGGACATTTGGGTTTCTAGTTTAATGCTATCATAAATGGTACTGCTGTGAAGTTTCTTGTGCCTTTTGGTACACATACCAAAAGAAATAAGAAAGAGAAATAAATCTCTTTCTTCATGAATCACACAATGACAAGCCCATAAGAGCTGCACATCTGGGGAGAAGCACAGACTCCTGAAATTCTTCATGATGATTTGTACAACTTCTTTAAAAAAGATCATAGCCTGTGAAAAAACAACACAAAGATTTATGAGAAACCATAATTATCAGGACAATACATCCAAAAAGTTACTGTGACACAATGACACAGAGCTCTGGTTTTGAAGTCAGACAGCCCCAGGCACATCCCAGCTCTGCCACTTATGAGTCCCTGATCCAAATATTTCTTAGCTCACAGGGTCTCAGTTTCCAAATTCTAGCACTTAAAACAGAAAGACTTTACATTAACTGGGTTGTAACTGAAAACTTAATATGTGTACACCATAAAAAATTCAAACTACAAAAGGATATATATAAACATGAAGAAAGTCAGTCTCTTTCCCCTCAGTCTGACCTTCAGTCTCCAGTTACCATGCCTGGCAACAACTATGTACTCATCTCTTGTTGATCTTTCCAGAAACGGTCTGTGTCTATTGCAAGCATAATGCATGTATACATGTGCATGTGCATATACATACATATTTCTCAGTTTTAATTATGGAATATTGCCCATATGGAAACTACAGAAAACCAATGTGCAGCTTAATGAATTCATGCAGAGCATTCACCTGTGTAGACACCTCCCAGGTCAATAAAGTCTGTAAGTTCCCACTTGTTCCTTCCCAGTCACGGTCCTTGCCCTGCCCTTAAAAGTGATCACTGTTCTTATTTTTAAAATAATCTTTCTTTACCTCCTAATCATGCATTTCTAAACACAATATTTTGAACTTCATAGAAACAGACTGATATTTTAGATCCTTTTTTAGGTTTGGCTTCTTTTAATCCTGTATCTGTGGGATTCATCCATCTTGCTGTATTTTCTACTTCACTGATTTTAACTGCTGTAAAGTAGGGATTGACACTTTTTCTGCAAAGGGCCTGACAGTAAATATTTTAGGCTTTGTGGATCAAAAGGCAAAATCCAGGACATTATGGAGGTATTCGAATAGCAAGAGGGAAAACAAACTGCCTCACATTTTTAATTGATAAAATTCAAAAGACAGTATTAATATTTGACTAGAGTTTTTTGTAATACAGGTCTACCAATAAGAATTAAATAATTATTCAGGAACAACATTTTACTTGCTTGAGGCTTGAAATCGACTGCAAATGTTCAGCTGCTAGTGGTGATGTGAAGGAGACATCCCCCATCTGAGCTTTGAAGATGTCTCTCACAGATACGTGCTGCCAATGCTGCTATCAGTCTTGAGCATATGCTTTTAAGTGTGCATGTTTATTACTAGGAGGTATTTCTAGAATTCCATTAGGTTCTTGTCTTGATATCTGCCTTTTAGCATGTCGTTACAATGCAACTTAATCACTTCTGATTTCTCGGCCAATGGAAAGTTAGGTGGACATGTCTCCATTGCACAAATGTATTTGAAATATGGAAATTTCCTTTGTGTTTGTTTCAAGACTCAAAACTGCTCCTGAAAGTGTAGTTTAAACTCAGAAAATATATTCACTGCAAATATGTGTGAGAATTGAAATCTCACTTCAACTTCTCGTTCCTTTTTGCTTAACAATTCCCTCTTCAATTTATCTCTCTGCTTTCTTTTAACTTAATTTTTTTAATTCTGTAAATTTTTTTTTAGTTAGCCAAGGATGCCCTCAGACTGGCCCACTTAAGTAACAACTTTATTTTCTCTCAGTTCTGGAGACCATAAGTCCAAGATCAAGGTGCCAGCAGGTTCCTTTCTTCTGAGGCCTTTCCTCTTGGCTTCTGGATGGCTGCCTTCTCCCTACGTCTTCACATGGCCACCTCTCGATCTGTGCATTGTCTGCATCCTAATCTCCTTTTCCTTCTTTTTATGGGGTTAGAATAATATTCTACAAAGGATTCTTTTTTATATTCTATTTTATTTTTTATTGAAAAATAAAAATGTATTGGGGTCACACTGGTTAATAAAATTATATAGGTTTCAGGAGTACAGTTCTATAATGCATCATCTGTATATTGTACCGTGTTGCCTTTTAACTTTTGACAGTACAGGAGTCCATAAGGCAGGTCGCCATTCTCCTAGCAAAGTCCCTCTGCCTTTGGCAAGCCTGAGTCTTAGCTTGTGCCCAGACTTGGCCCATGCCCCAAGAAAAGAAAATCGCCAGTGATCTCAGATCACTTAGGAAGGACTCTTTCCTCTCCACCATTTCAGTTCATCTAGTCCCCTTGTTTCCAAAGCTCTCTGATGCCTTAAAAAATATGACATCTACAATACACTTGTCATTTTCTCTAATTACTGTACTTACCTATTACATCCCACAGAGAACCAGAAGACAGGTCTATTTTCCGTTTTATTAATTCTGTTATTTTTATTTTGTTATTTCTTTCCTTTTGCATTTTTGCCTCTAATTTGCCTTCCTTCTTCTAATTTCTCAAAAAGAATGCTGAGTCTTATTTTCACCCTTTCTTTTCTGGTAAATGCCTTTAAGACTACACATTTCTGTCTAAGCGCCACACTAGTAGCATTCCACAAGTTTGATGTTTATGTCACATTTCTGTTAGTCTTCACTTCAAAATATTTTCTAGTTTCTATTCTGACACTTTCTTGATGAACAGATTATTTACACCCACATTTCTTAATTTCCAAACATATTAGAATTATCTTGTCATTGATTCCTAGTTTCATTGCATTTTTATTAGAGAACACACTGCATGATTTCAACTCTGAAATGATTGACACTTGCTTGATGAAACATTTTATAGATGGGGCTGCCTTCCAGCTGTCCTCACCTGTCAGGGAAAGACAGAGAGCAAACTCTGGTGTCTCTTCTTGTAAGGACTCTATTCCCATCATGAGGGACCTCCCTCATGTCTCACCTCATCCTAGTTATCTCCCACAGTCCTCATTCCCAAATGCCAATACCTTGGAGGTTAGGGCTTCAACATATGAATTTTGGGGTGACACAATTCAGTCCATAGCATCCCACACCTGCCCCCCAAATTCATGTCCTTCTCACATGCAAAAACATTCACTCTATCCCAACAGTTCCAAAAGTCTTAGCTCATTTGAACATCAACTAAAGTCTAAATCTATGTCTAATCTAAATATCTAAATCACATGTGGGTGAGTCTCAAGGTTCAATGCACCTCAGGCAACATTCCTCCCCAGCTGTGAACCAGACAAGTTTTGTGCTTCCAAAACACAATGGTGGGACAGGCACAGGACAGATATTTCCATTCCAAAGGGAGAAGTCATAAGGAGGAAAGGAATAATGGGTCCCAAGCAAGCCCAAAGCTTAGCCAGACAAATTCTATTGGATCTTAAAGCTTGAGAATAATCCTTTAGCTCAATGTCCTACCTTCCAGGTCACTGGGATGGCCCCGCCCCTTCAGCTCTACTGCGCCCCATCCCCACGGCTCTGGGTGCATCGCTGCAGCTCTGCCAGGGTACAGTCCTATGGGGGGGGATCCCACCCTTCAGGTTCTGGGCAGAGGCCATCTGACCTGTTTAAACTGATGCTGTGGCCCTGATATTTTCAAATTGCCTTCCAGGACATTTTTCTCTCTTCTTGAAGAATTGTGCACATTCGAAGCATAATAGCTGTACTGTCTCATCCTGTCAAATCCAAGAAGTCTGACAGCCTCCCTTCATTCCATCCGACCTCCAGCCCTTCCCATTCAAACCAGCAGTGATCCTACTCTTACCATCTTCATCAAATAGCTGTTCAGCCACATCCTTAGTGTTCTTTTCAGAATACACTTCCTCGTTTTTTGAAATACAGATAGGCTAAGAATCTTCCAAATCTTCAAGTTCTTGTTTATTTTGCTTGGCAATTCCTTCTTCAAGTCGTCTCTCTGCTTTCACATTTTACCATAAGCAGTCAGAAGAAACCAGCTCCTTCAACATTTTGCTTAGAAACCTTCTCAGCAAAACATCCAATTTCATTGCTTGCAAGTTCTACCTCCCGTAAAACAGAACAAAGTTCAGCCAAGTTCTTCGCTGCTTTGTAGCATGGATTGCCTTTCGGCTAGTTTCCAGTAACATTTCTGTCTGAGAGTTCACAGCCTGACATTTGCGAGTCCTGTATCAGTCTTCTCTCTGTTTCGTTCTTCATCTCAACCCTCCTTCCGTGAACCTCTTTTATTAAGACTTAAGGTCCCAACCGATTCCCCTGAGGGGGTTCTTGGTCACATGTGCATGGGTAAGCTCCAAGTGAAACAAAATTAATTGAATAAAATTATATAGTTGACGGCAGAGATGGCCAATCCTCAAAACCTCCCGACTGCCAGGCTCAAATTTCCCCTAAGCCTCAGTTCCTTCCCTAACCTGAGAGCACAGCCTCAGGCTCAAACAGCCCGTGATGTGCCTCTACCATGGGAGGCTGGGGGGAGAAGGCACAGGCAAAGGGTTCACTCCCTTTCCCCTTCTCATGAGAATTTTACTTTCAACTGATTCTCTTGCTCTGTCCTCCTAGTAATCCGATAGACGATATGCATCAACTATGTTACTAACACCACTTAAGGCAAAAATGACCCCTGAGTGGTAACTAGCATCTTACTGGGAGGAATTACAAATGAACTATTAATACCAAATAGGAATCCATGGCTCTGACCTTTCCTGGGTGTGCTGACTTTTGTAATTGGGCAAATCCATTGAGCGGACCCTGGAAACTCTGCCTACAGAATTATTACAAGAGATCCTGGCCCTGGGGCACGTAAGCCAGGGCAACTCCTGCACCCATCCAATGTGAATCTCTTTTCCTTGCTCCTGAGCTTTGCAACCTGGGGGCTAAAGAAAATAGCTATGTGTCCTTCTGTGTGGATATAGCAAGAGCTCCCACAGGAAGAGAAGTGCCTGCTGCTGCCCTGCTGGACGCTGTGGTTCCTGTCTTGTATCTTTCTAAGCAGACTGATACTCAAGTGTGGTCTATGGTAATCTTGTATGACTATTTAGTTGAGCCCCAAGGCCAACCCCTGGTGGACACTGCAGAAGGCACCTGGGCTAGAATCGGGCAGGCTGTGCCTCACACTATGCTTACAACTAGCAAGCGCAGTGCAATAGGGGTACCTCCGTAAGAACAAGCTTTTTCTTAATATAACACTGACACATTTTGTACCTTTATTTGCAATGGATTATAGTCACATGCTAAAAGAAACTATAAAAATAATCTGGAGTCCCGTTTTTTGGTCACAAGAGTCCAACTGCTATAATATCAACTACATTCTCTAATAATTTCAATAGTACATTCCATATCTTAGATGAAATATGCCAATTGAAATGGGAGTGCTTCGTTTTCTTAAACAATGGACAATCTTTCACATTATGATTGTTAGAGTATAGCTCAAAGCTGAATGACGCTACTTTTCCTCTCTACTTCCTTCCAAAGGGAACATCAAACTCACCTTAGCTGTCCTTCTCACTCTGGTTTTCTTTCTTAAGTAACTTGTCAGTGTCTGAGCCCTCACACTGCTGTTGCTCGGCGAAGTCTCTTCTGATCATGTCTTCTGTGCCCTCGTGGATAATCTGATGGGCTGCGAGAATATGCTTCCGCTGTGCATTCCTCACTGTGCCAAGTGATGGAAGAATTTTTACTCTGACTGAGCTAAACCATTCTCAAAGGTTTTCAAGACAGTATTGATAGAAATTGTAATTGTGCATCGTAATGCAAATTTTGTAATGCAAAGATCATAAGTGACTTAAAGGTAAGGTGCTTCATACTCTCTTTGAGCCTTAGTTCCTAATAGGGAGGGGACCTGTTGACTGACGACAAGTTCTGAGCTCATGGCTTTAGGAGGTGGTCCTAGCTTTGTAACCTAAGAAATTTATTATCAAGTACATTAAGCATCCCGTTTCCCTTGGAAAGGAGTAATCATGATGATGATATTAGCATTTGTCCTTATTTTGTGCCAGGCACTGTTTTAAGCAGTTGGCATATAATTACTCATTTAAACCACCTCACAACACTAAAAGAGAGTTTTATCAATATCTCCATTTTCAGATGAGGAAACTGAGACACAGAGAGATTAGGCAATCTGCCCAAAGCCATACAGCTAGCAAAGGGCGGTCAGAAGCACAGTACTGTGGACTCTGTTCTCTTCAGGCATCAGCCAGTTTGTACAGGGCATGTCGCACAGCAACTTGTAGCACTGCACAGTAGTATGGTCGGAAGTATGGGACTTTGGAGCCACACGGACCATGGTTCAAATCTGCAAGTCATATAATGTCTCCAAGCAGTAATTTTGTTAACTGAAAAGTGAGCACACACCTACAGCTGTTGTAAGAAACTGAGAAAAGGTACTTTTAAAAATGCTTAGAACATTGTCTAGAACTTAGCATGCATTTAAAATTTGGTAGTTACTGTTATTTTACATCTATATACAGGTCTCTTCGAGGTCTATCCCATCCCTCAGCTTTAAAAAAAAGATATCTCAAAACAGTCCATGTATAATATTATCTTAAATTGGGGTAAAGAGTACATATAATACATATGGTTCACTTATTTGGAAAGAGAAACAAAAGTCTTGGTGTGTGCTCCCTGCCCATATGGCTTTCTTCATTTGATGTATATAAAGGGAAGAGGCAGCCCTGGCTGGGTGGCTCTGTTGGTTAGAGCGTCATCCAGATATGCCAAGGTTGCGGGTTCGATCCCCAGTCAGGGCACATATAAGAAGCAACCAATGCATAAATAAGTGGAACAACAAATGGATGTTTCTCTGTCTCTCTCCCTCCCTCCCTCTCTCAAATATATATATTGAAAGGGAGAGGCTAAAGACTTGTCCAGCTTGCCCACAAACAAGACCCACTGGATTCCTTCAGCTCAAGTGCCCTCCAGCTCCTCTCTCTCAGACCCAGGAGAAGCTGGGGGAGAGGGTCACACACGAGTAACTATTAAACACTATTTTCCCCTCCCTTTCGATTCCTTCAGGGAGAACTGATCAGACTCAAGCTGAGCTCACTTGGAACCTCGGAGAAGTAGAAAGGAGCTGCATATTTTCTTAAAGGTCTATATAACACAAGATCCCTTCTGTAATGTAAGGTGGCACAGAAATACTTATTACCTGAAAATTAAATTTTGTTGGTATAGGCGCCATCACACACCGCTGGTGGGAGTATGAATTAGGATAACCTTTTTGGGGGGGCATTTCGGTAATATCTATCAAAGTGTAACATTCGCATACCACTACTGGGAATTTACTCTCAGCAGCACGACCAGGACATGTGTGAAATATACTGATTTCGACATGGCTAGTTATAGGAAAACACACCGGAAAAGAGCTAAATGCTTATCACTAGAAGGTACTGGTTTAAAAATTACAGTGCAATCATATAATGGAAAAATAAGCTCTTTCTTTGTTCTCTTTAAATGCATGAGGACTCCATCATTCCTTCATCCTGGCTAAAAGATCTAAAATACTTAAATCTGTCCAGAATTTCCCTGCACACCTCTGACACCTGCTGAGATGTTATTTCACTTAAATATTGATCTCTGGTCGAGCCCCTGCCTCCGGGATCAGGTCTGTCACCAATAGTCTGAAAGCTCCAAAAGAATACTTTTTTTTAGAGGCACACTCTTTTCTCCTTTCCTGTTGACTAAAAGCACCAATCTTCCTAAACATGCCACTGTTGACAAGTGATATATGAGGATACCTATACTTAGATACAGCCCTGCTGGAAACATGAAACATTTGTGACACAGGCCGAGCAGCAGGGTAGATCTAGGCCCTCCGGGTGCCCCAGCTGTTCCAACAGCCACCTTGCCTGTGCCCTGCCGCCCCAGGCTGCTGCAGTTTGAAAATCCCACATATCCTCAACATTTACTTTATGTTTTAAAAAAATCAAATCACAAAATACACCTCTTCTGGGAACTTGGGAACTCCCTCAAAGACAGCTTGGATTCTGATTCTCTGTTAAGCTTATTAGAGCTAAGCCCCATCTACACGAGAGGCGGTTATAGCTAGAATCAGACAGCGCGAAGAGAACTGGACAAGCTCTGACGTGGGGAGCTCAGTGGTTCTCCTTCAGAAATTTCCCCAGACCTCTGCTCAGTTTCAAATCTCTGGGATACTGAAAATAGTCCTGTTTTTAAAAAAATCACAAAGGGAAGCATTTGCACGGGCTTACCTTTTTCTTTGACGAAATCCTTTTGCACCTCTGGGATCAGGAAACTATAAACCAGCTCGGCAACAATCTCCTCTGACTGAAGCTGAGTTCGACTGAAAAATATAAACAAATTAAACTATTTCCTTTGTGGCTGTACCTGAGCTGCTGGTTTATACTTTGATACTCCTGACTTGCATAAGGAACTCCACTGCTCAAATCCCACCGTGGCCTGTTCCTTAGGTAAGTGATCTAAAGAATCACATTAGTGATGAGCTTGGTGAACCCCATGGAAAATTCAGATTGGCCCTGTCCTTCATGTGCCCTGCCTGCTGGGAAGGGAATGTTAGAGACACAGTGTATACATGGAAGCCAAACACCTCTGGTGAGGCCAAGTAGTGTTGCCTGGACTTACTCACATGGCTTTCATGCTTTGAGTATCTAAAAGTTAAGTAATGTAAAAGTGATCCAGACTGCAGGGGGTGCCTGGAAATTCTGTTCCCAACGCTCCTACCATTACAAAGGTGTAAGCGTAACTTCTAAAGCGTTACACTAACTCAGGAAGCCTGAGTTATATATTTGTGTTTCCTTGGTGGTGAACTCTTAAGCTCCTGACAACACATATGAGTAACAGCCAGCATGCTGTCTATTCTACCATCCGTTCTCTTGGTACACACCGGCTTTCCATTTCATAAGCAATGTCGTTGATTTCCTTGGCCATCTTCTCAATTTCCTCCCTGGCCTGTTCTTCTGCAGTATTCTCTTCGGTGTTCAGTATTATGTCCTCCAGATAGGAAGTTACAGTACTCTGGTGAACTTTAACCACCTGCAAAAACCCAAATGCACCCAGTTACTGAGAACAGGATACTAATGTAAACAAGATAAGAAAAATGCACAAACATTGGTCAACTTTTTTTTAGCACATTTATTTAGTTCATTAAGTCAGTAGTCCCCTCACTGATCATTCTTTTCCTCTGCCATCTTGAAGTCTGTTTCTAATCCACCTGCCTATCCATTCTAAGCAGTCCCCACCCATCTAACCCATTTTGGAATTATGGATTTTCCCCGAAGGGGACACTATAGCACTGCAGAAAGATCGTGGATCCTGGCCTTGTCCTTACCCATAGGATGTCTTGGTCAAACTACCTAACTGTGGCAGAAACTAAGGTATTTCCCAGTGTCCTTTCTCTCCTTCCTCTTAAATAACAGAAGCCCTGAATTTTAGCTGAGCCAATAGGTCCTAGAACAGACTACATTTCCTAGCACCCATAGTTCTAGCCAAGGAAATACCTGCATAAGTGATCTGGGCTCCTTCCAGAAAGGATTCTTAAAAGGAAAACACCTAGCTCATCCCGCCTCTTTTTCATTTCTCATTTCATTGGGAGCCACAGTGCTTGAGCACCAGAAGTCACCTTAAACTGCCACGAGAGCCAGGACTTAGGGACAGAAAAGCAGAAAGCTAGAGGGATCCTGGATCTTTGACGAATTTTCTGAACTATCTTATCAGTCCTCCACTGCCTATTTTTAGAGCTTTCTTGAGCCCTGGCCAGTTTTGCTAAGTGGTTAGAGCAGAGGCGCACGCACTGAAAGGTCTTGGGTTCGATTCCTGGTCAAGGGCCTGTGCCTGGGTTGCAGGTTTGATCTGGCCCTGGTCGGGGCACACGCGGGAGGCAACCAATCAATGCGTCTCTCTCACATTGGTGTTTTTCTCTCTCTCTCTCTCTCTCTCTCACTCTCACTTTCTTTCTCTTCCCCTGCCTTCTTCCCTTCCACTCTCTCTAAAAAAATCAATGGAAAAAGTATCCTGCAGCAGGACTCTGAGTATATAATGTTTACTCTCTATCTACCTGCTGTAAAACACCAAACCCATTACCTTGAATCCCTGTGCCTTCCCTATGGGAGAGGCCAAATAACCAGTTTAATTCAGTGTCAACCAACCAACCAGCCAAAATACATTTGCTCGGTGTCTGCTATACACAGGGCTCTATGCTGGTGCGATGGAAGGCACCCCAGGATGGGCAACACGCCGGCTGTGGGGAGCCTGCACCTTCCTCGGGAATCGAGCTGAGCCCCGATGAAACAGCTAGACAGCTGAGGCTCAGGAAAGCTCAGGGCCGGGGCGTCTACTGCGGCGCACCCGTATGCAGCAATGCATGTGCCTGTGTGTGCCTGTAGCTCTTTGTAAGTGCGTGAGATTCTGGGCGCCTTGCGCTTGTACGCACGTGGCTTCACGAGGAAACAGGCAGGTGGCTGTGTGTGTCTGCGGGCGAGCTCCGCCCATATTGGTTGAACGCCCCGAGAAGCGAATGCCGGTTCATTTCCGAGCTCCTTCGGTTTTGCTGGGCTCCCTCCCCAGAGCTCCCGGGGCGCGGCCCCCACTCGCCTCCTTGAAGATCTCGTCCTCCTCCCGCAGGCGCCTCTGCTCCACCTGGCGCCGGCCGCTCTCCTCGGCCTCCCGCGTCCTGCGCTGCCGCTCGGCCAGCATGGCGAAGGCGTGGACGCGCCGCTCCTCCTGCAGCCGCACCAGCTCCTTGGACAGGAAGTCGAGCATGTCGGCCAGCACCCTTCCTTCCAGGCCCGCCAAGTGGTTTTCAACCAGTGACACCTTAAAAATAACGTAATCTGAAGGATGCAAATTCCACCAAGCCTGGGGATTTATGAGGAGCGATGCTCTTGACAGTCACTTTATTTTCAGGATGCACTCAGTTTTCATTAGGAATGTTATCTCTAGACTTAGTAGGAAAACTAACGATACAATGTTAGACTTGAGAAAGTCGAAGTGAAGGGTTATAGTCCTCAAGTTATAGAGGGGATTTAGCAAAGAATTTGACTAGTGTCCGCACAGAATGTGTTTTATTTCAAGTTTATCCTGAATGTAAAGTGCTATGTCTTCCCAGACACGAAGAGAAATGTCAAGGGTTTTATTAAAAGATAACTTTGGAGTTTAATGAAATAGAATCTCCTAGATATTCACTCATGATGCCTTTTAATTTTTTAATGCCTTGTCCTTTAAACACAAGTTTGGGGGGTTTTAAGATCTTGAATAACATGGAAGTAGAAAAGCATGGCATCTTTTATACTTTTAAATAACTTCAGAGTTATTAACAACTGTCTTTGAAATACAGCAGAAAAAAATATATGTCTGTATGATCATTAAGGTACAACAGAGGCCTGGAGTTCCCGGCCAGGAATAAGCCACAGTATCTACCTGTCCTGGCTCTGACGCATGGAGCATAAAGGCATTTAAAGGCTGCATCCTTTGCTGCTTCCACCTGGCCCCTCTCCTTCTCAGTCCAGGGAAAAGAGCTCTCCTCCCGGGCACACGCTACTTTCACACTGACAGTTCTGCCTCTCTGCTCAGCTCCCCTCTGGTTTGCACCTGAAGGGAAGAAACCCATCCAGGTCTCAAAGGTGCTATGGCTACCGGGCGAGACTGTTGTTCACGTGAAGTCGTTAGTCCCAGCACACTGATCCCCATCCTTACCCACCACCCAGCCCACACCTACCTTCTAACCACTAAGTGCCCAGCTTTACTTACACAACAGGAGAGGTGGGCAGAAAGGGCAAGGGTCTCGCTACTCCTAACATTTATAAACAGTGACCGTTCAGCCCGGAGAGCACAGGTTTTCTCATCTCCAGGGATCACAGCTCCCTCACTTGCGGGGGCAGATGCAACCTTTAAAATCCTGAGGTTTTAAACCCTGTTCATGCCTCGCCTCCTTGAGGCCTCAGCAAGAAAGGCGGGTATGCTCGGGTAGTACAGTTTCGTTTGAATATTAAGTGAAAATACATTTAGCAAGGTGAGCCTGTTGCAGTCATACCGTGTGATGCATTACATAAGGGGGGGCCGTGCATTTTCCAGACTGTTTCCCACAGAAAACGTAAGTGAAGGAGGAAGGGAGGAAGGTGCCTGCTCCACCCGGCCCCTGCATGTCACTGGTGTGTTTGGTACAGCTGAAGGTAAGCAGGGCGAGTCGTTGGCCTAGCGACAGCTCTTCCTGTTACCTCCTCTCTTAGCTCTTAGCTGACATGGTATCGATCAAGTGTATGTCCACTAAGTGGGAAAAATGACTGGACAAGCCCGGATTGGCTTAGGTATATATCTATCAAAGTCTATAATCAGAGGCCTCCAAGGGCCAAGGAGGGCATTTTCCCATCCAGGCCCTGGGACCTGGTGCTTCCAGGGCATTTGCTCTCTATCTGAACAGAAAATTGCAGCCCTGTCCCCAGCATTTCCAGGCCTCTCAGGTTCAGAGACTCCTGTGAACACATTCTCTTCTTTCTCGGGCCCGTCTCTTGGGTCTCACAGCCTGTGGCTTCCCTCCTCCCTCCCCCACATGAGCTCCCCAAACCCGGTGGCCATCCAGTCCTGCTGCCGTGTAAAAGGAGTAAGGTTGTGAGCATTCCCAAGCTGCTTACCATTTGGCCCAAGTCCACACAGCACTAGAGTATGTGTGTTACTAAAGGTGGGTCATATTAACTTTGCTGTAAATTTACTTTCTTACAACACCAAACACTAGGCAAAAGGATTCTTTTTCACACTGATTAACAGATTAGGGGAAGAGGTAGAAAAGTGCATCTGCACTGTAGTCAACAGCATTAGAAACTGTGTATATAGAGATGAGCTCCAGAAGAGAACAGGAGGATACTTGCAGGTGTCGGGTGAGAGCTGCCATTACCAGCTGCTGTCAGGTGGGCCAAGTGCAGAGGTCACAGAATATCATGAGATATTAACATACTTAATATGCAGTTTAACCAGCATGAGCTATGTACAGCTCCAAAGATCATAAATAAGTGCTGATATTTACAAATAAATCTCATTTCTCAGCTTTTTTTCTTATTGCTTTTATTACTATTCATTCTGCTAAGCTCCCACTGACTGAAATATAGTACAGTCACCAAATATTTAAGAAAAATTAAAAAGGAAAACCTTTTAAAATGTAGGTGTTTTGGGGTTTGGGGGTTTTGGTGTGGTTTTTTTGCAAATAAGGGATAAGACCTTATTCAAGTCAGTGAGGTCACACCCGGTTCCAATCATGACTGTAGCAACACTGTTTGAAAATGCTGACTGTGAGAGAGTGATGGGGTTGTGGGGGATGTTTCTTTTTCATCAGTTTAGTTATTGTTGTTATAATGTTTCTCGCACCATAGTAAAAATCTGGGAGAAAATATAACAAGAATGTAACAAGAAAGAAAAGCAAAGAACCTTGTGTTCGTGCAAGTTCCTCTGCCGCTGCAGGGCCAGGGTCACTTGCTTCTCCGCTTTCTTCACCAGCCTGTCATCTTCTTGCAGTGCGTGGGTGGTGCGCAGCTCCTGGATCAACTCCAGTCGCTTCTCTTTCCCTTCAAACATCTGTATCAAATCAAATCAAAGAGAGACTTGCAAACTAGCATCCCTTGTGTCAGGCACTAGGACTCATTCTTTTTTTTTTTTTTAATCCTTACCCGAGGATATTTTTTCCATTGCTTTCCAGAGAGTGGAA